ACTGTAAGACTTATGGGCTTACCTAGATACAAACACACAATTAAGGGATCAGATTGACGTTTAATCGGTTGAATTATTTTAATATATTTCCTTAAAGACCTGGAATATGTACAAAAGATTCATAGAAAGAATAGCCACATTTTGCCAAGTGAATAACAGTTATTCCATTGATAATCACATTCCAGGAAGGAACCAAGGTCTAGACAAACAGCAATACTTCCTTTCTATATACTAATTTCAATACAATTATTTCAGTCTGAATTTGTAATAGGAAGAAGAGAAAAAGAAACTTTTCTGAAATTGTAACACACTTCCCTAAATATCATTATCACTATGGTAAGGATTATTAGTGAACACTACAGTAGGCCTATATAAAGAATTGCTATAATGAAAGGAAGGTAAGTAACGAAAGATTGTACTTTACAGGGACATGATACAGAATCTATTTGAACACTATGAAGAAGAATTTTAATTATAAATTTCATCTCCTGTTTAGTTTTTCCATTTCATAATACTGTAGTAAAATATTTTGACTGAAAAAGATCTAATTGCAGATGTTTACAAGGCAACACTTAAAACATTTAAAAGTTATTTTGATGATTCAGGTTGCAAGAATCAGTTCACTTTAGGTATTTATCAAAAACAATGGCTACTATATAAAAAACAACTATATAATATATCATAACATCATGTATAAAATGTTACCACAACAGTTAGGAACAGGCAAGGAAGGAATTCCTTTGAACAACTAAAACGACACTCATCGATAACTTATCTTTTGACAGTTTTCCTCCTATAACTTTTATACCAAAAATGTGATATTAAGTAAATTTAGACAGGAAACAATACATGAGGCCTTTTGTTGAATGTTTCCTGAATACCACCTTCGGCAATGCAAACATGGTTTAATTTAACAGTTCAAGGAATAAAATTTGCAATTGCTCCTGTCAATTCTATATCCTTAATAAATACACATTTTATTGCTCAGGTTGAAATACTGACTGAGCCAGTGTTTTTTAAGATACTAAATGGTTTATTTTCTAAATAGTCAAATAAAAAATAAAAAAATTCCCAAATAAATATTAAACAGGAAAAAAAATCATGTAGTACTTAAATTTTAATGACTATGACAAGATATAGTATATGACAGAACCGGAAATACACATTTCAGTAGAAAATTACAAAAAGTTAAAAAATAATGAATATAATTACAGTTACGATACTTACAGACATCTAAATGAACTATCCGTCACTTCACACGTTCCTCCATTTTGACAAGGGTTGTTTGATATACATAAGGAATCTAAAATATAAATATATTTTGTAATTAAAACTTAATAAAAACTTAACAAGTTTATACTGTATATGTGGAATGAAATAAACAAACTCGCTATGATATATTAGTTGTGATCAATGTATATTTATGTACAAAACAACAACACAAATAGGCACAGAAACTCCTCCTTCATAGTAATCCATTTGGCAAATGTGAAATTTATTAGGTTATTATATATCTGTTTATTTTTTTTTCTTTTCAATCATCTCATTCATTGTGTATTTTGTATACTGTAGTGTAAATACATTTATATTGTGTTTTGTGATTTTTACTAACTTAAGTAGCATTTATGCATGACAATAAATTAAAAATAATCTGAATCTACGGTATATATAAAATAATGTGTTACAAAAGTTTAAGGAATAAAATGGAATAATATATTTTCGTATCTCTGGTGAATGCTGAAGACTGTGAATGATTCATTAGTAAGGTCATTTAAAAAGTGTTATTTTTATGTTTATTTACCTTGTTTATTATAACTACATTTGTAGGGTATACAGTGTCCAGCTGTACTACACTTTTTCCCACAGTGGGAAAATTACAAATGTTACAAAATTTTATAAGAACTATTCATTTAATTAAATTCCCATTCACATACTAGGAAAGTTACAGTAGTTTATAGAAGTTTAAAGCCAATCAAATGGTTAAATATATCCTAAGACATTTAAAATCATTTGTAAAATAAAAATTAAAAAAAAAATTAACATGGAAAATAGTTAGTACAGACTTTTTTTGATGACAAATAAGGGGGAAAAAAACCAGTTAAAAAGAATATAATTCCAGCAAGAAATATAATGTTCATGATTTTAAGAATATTTGAATTTGATTTGTATACAGTACTTATTGTATATTTCACCTATATAATACAACCAAATAATTGTAAAGTGATATTTCATCATATCATGAGAACTACATAACCTTATGATCTTAGCTATTGTGTATTGGATTAATTTTAGTCCTGAGGTGGGAGAGAATATAAAAGGTAAATAACCAATGAAATTGGGTTCCAAACAATTGCTTTCAAAACTATCATAACAGTTATGTCCTATACAATAACCAATACAAATCATAAAAAATAATAGTTATTTCAATTGACAAACTTTTTCCCATGCTTTTTAAAAAGCAATACAAGGGTTTAGCAATACGCATACAATTCATTTGCTTATTTCATTCTTTCAATAAATGGATGACTTCGCTTTGGGGAGGATTTTCGACACAAAGATTTTGTCGCACAACACATGTAAATTACCATCAGTGCTTTACATGGAGTAATGATCTTAGCTTTAAAATATTTATAATCCTCTAGCACTTTTGAAGAAATTGACGGATTAATAAATTATCCTTGCAAGATTGAATTTGTAAAAGATCAACACCATTTAGGAACTAAATTGCCTAACAGAACCCAGACTTAACAATAAAGTCTTTCGATTATGTGGTTATAGAAAATCACCACTGTTGCATACTCAAGTTGTTATTTGTTTCTAGAATGCTTGAAACAGAATACCACTTTGCCTCAACAGACCGGTCTTTTAGCTGGTTTTAATTTCGGGCCAATTAGGTTTAGGTATGCAAGTTTCCATGACCCCCTCTGTTGTTAGGTCTGTGCTTTAGTGTTCTACAAGTGGACCGTATGTCAGTAGTCCAGGTTTCACTTATGGCTTACTTTACAACAGACCAGTTCAAATATCATGATGAAAATAAAACTGTCACCAGAACAGGCAATCTAAAACTCTAATACTTCAGATATTAACTAATCAGGAACTGGCTTATATTTTCTGCCTAGGCTAGTTGTAATAACAGCTTATCATTCTTAATTCTCAGACCCCAAAGTTATTTGAAACATTTTATCAAAGCTGTAGAAATTGCTCATTTTACTAATACATTTAATTAATCAACTAACAACATAACTTTACTTTTTCTCTTCCTGAATTACAGTAGGTTGTAAAGTCATACAAATATTACCATTAAATAATGTTAAAATTAAAATGCAAGTTAAAAAAGGAATAAACTATCCATTAATATTTTAGAAATCACATACAGTACTGTAGACAAACATATTGAAAGATGTCATCTCTTCCAATATAGTACAGTATGTTTTGTAAATCTGATTTACCAGTAACCATTTGTTATCTCACCACTGGCCACATCACTAAATTATTTCTCACTAACTTGTCACATTACTTTATAAATCATAACCTATGGAAAAACAAATACTAAAACAGATTTTCTCTAGTATGATTAAAAAGGTATTAAAGGTAACATTATGAATCAACCATGACTTGAGAAACCTAGAATGAAATGGTTCCCCTGTATAACATAAATTAAATAAAGTCAGCGGTCTTTTCAATTATAAATAAGTACTGTACAAACAAGTGTGTAAATTTAACATGTGAGTCAACAGCATAAAACAAACAACAAATTTTAACATTTAAGATGAAAGATTGAGTGTCAAGAACCAGTAAAATTTTGCCCTGGCTCAGTTTTCACATGTTTTTGTTGATTTCAGGCTCAAAATGTTCTTATTTTGTTCTTATTTTTATACTTTTCAAACATACAAAATTATTATTGTACAGCAGTATATTAATGTACTGTATATAGAAGGCATTACATAGTTTCTTGAAATTTTTGCATCAGTCTTTATTTGTTCCTATTTTGTTCTAAATTTTTAAGCGATCAAGTGTTCTAACGCGAGGCGCCAGGTAAATCCAGAATAATTATTATTATTATAAAATTTGTTCTTATAAAATAGTGTGTATATAGAATAAAAATAATTATTGAATATCATGCAAATTTATAAGGGCCAATCATAAAATTTATCTTATAATATATTCCAGTAAAAAAATAAATTGAACATTAAAATAGTACTTTATCCTGGCCAGCCAGGTAAATTTCTGAACTACAGTAATGAGATGTAGCAACATAAGAATGATTTCCACAAGCAAGTTGCAAAAATGAAACTTGTTAAAATTGACACGTTTTCCCTGAATAAACCTATGTACAATATCCAATTATTTATACTGATATACCCTATATGAGTCAGTCTTCAAAAATAGATCACATAGAAGTTAGGTAGGAACATGGAAGCTGTAGGTATGGTCACCTTGGCCCTACCGTGACAAGTTTACAATCTAAACATACCCTACTGGGGTACTGGTCTAACAACCTAAAGTCAAGTATAATTAAAACCATATCAACTCTGGAACAAACCACATTACATCTATTTATATCAGAAATATTAACTACACGTCATAAGCATCATGAACAGTTAAATTTAATTTTAAATGTTTATTTACACATTCAATTTTTTTAAATACATTATTAATGTACCATAGTTACAGGTTAAAACATATTAAATAATGTAATATTTATCCTTATAACATGTTAAAAACAATTTTGCAAAAGTAATTATAATTATAGCACAGATCCTATAATTTATTAGGAACTGCTTTACACTTTTCCATCAGTGGCACACTTCTCAATAGTATGTGCAATAAACAATATAGTAAAGTTTACAAAATACTTGAGCTGAGGTAAAAACAATTTAAATTTGAAATGGGACATCAAGGTAAAGTAAATAGAAAAAAAAAACAAATTTAGTTATGTAAATAACGTAAATGTGATCTTAAAATATATCTATATATTCTGTAAATACCAATATTGATATTTTTTTACCATTCTTTACTATTATACAAATTCACACATTCTAAATTAAATTACATCTTTAGCATTTTAAATTAGAATTCTGATTAAATAAAACAATGAAATATAAAAACTAATAATCACATCAATATAAAAATGTCCAATTTAATACAAGTTATGAATTTACATACAAAAAAAATAGTTTAGTACAGTAGATGACACTAAAATCAATGTTTTCATATCCCTACTTGAAGAAACTGACAAGATTAATTATTCTTGTTTTATATAAAATATAGAAAATCCAGTGGATGCCCATCAAATTGTACTGTATATTAGTACTGTCACTTGAAGACACTGGTATCAGTAAACAAGGAGAAATAACATGCTTTCTATGTAACTTGGTTGTAGTTTTAATACAGCTTCAAACTTTCATAGCATTTAGCAGTACTCACTGTGGTGTATGAAATCTACTAGAGGTTAACCATTCTTGTAACTTTATCCAAATTATAATATACAGTAACACTATTCAAAATATAACTGTGAAGTTACTGTGTGTAGAATAGAACCTACATCATCGGGTAAATACTGTCAGTACAGGTCTGACTACAGTATCTCCGGCCTACACACGAACTAATTAGAACGTGTCCTACAAAACAAAGTTTCTCAACCCCGACACAACATATACCCAAAGATGACATTTAAACACTATGACACATAATGAGACATGATATTTGACAAAATAATATCCAATATGAAAGCAAATGTTTCCACAAACTACCAACTACCTTGAGCAAGAGTGATCCGTAGGCCTCCATTGAGGCTAAGCACAATCGCAATCAATAGAACTGTTTTGAATGGCGGACTACCATTTAGCGTCCAGCGATCACGCAGGCCCATCCTGCAAAAATATGTTCCCACAGAAATATTTTCCACTCAAAGCATATCATTCACAACAAATGTAAAAAATATCCAGTAAATCAGTTTCCAAGTAAGACGTTTATAATCCAAATTAAGTATGAATATTCCACTTTATGCCATGAATGTTGATAAACTCGTCAACTAGTTTACATGATCCGAGTCCATTCCCACCTTACTAAGTAGTACCTTACTTTCGCTATCCAAAACTTTAGTCGTGTGTCGAACACAAAGCCCAGGCGAATTCCAGAGATATCCCTCCGCGCTGTCCCGTTCAATTTTGCTGTACAACGTCCGCGGCTATTCATATGCAAATTACTTTAAAGCCTGGCACGCTTTACGGACGAAATGAATATAAGCAGATTATGACGAAGAATGAAACGTATTTAAATGAAAAACAAGACTTATTGATACACAAATGATCTTGATTCTGCCAACATTTATAGATCGTAGGTCTTGATTGTATATGCGGAGTGACTACAGTAGTGTGAGCGAGGGCTTGTTCTCATCTTTCAACCCCATGGTGGTGTGGCGAATCAGAGCGCCAATTCGAGATTTTCCCAGAATATTGCCATTCTATACATTAAAAAATATTTAACAGAATCGAAGTGATTTAATGTCTTGATTTATAATTTAAATATGTTGACCTTTGGTGCTATAGATATCATATTGGCAAACTATTGGACCATTTAAAAAAAAATAATTAAATGACAGTTAACTGATGACAATAAAGTTTAAATGCTTCTTTTGTGTGTCACTTGTGGAATCACGTAATAAACGTGGAAAAAAAGCACAAATGTATTGTTATACATAATGTATGTCGTATAATATCTCCACAATTTCCAACATAAGTCATAAAATTTAAACAAACATTAATTTTATTAATAAGATAAGATAAACAATATAGGCCTAGGCCTACGATATAAGAAATATCACGCACAATATTTTATAGTAAACAAGCATGTTAATTTTGAAAGTCTGGCTAAGCTTAGTGTACGCTTTTACTAAGGGGCAATGTATTGAGTAATACGGATTCAGATTATTTGTTATATCTTTAACTGTTTCCTGTTCAGTAATCATTACTTTACTTTATCTCATATCCGGCAAGATAAATTGACATCGTATACAAACATACCTCATTGCAAATACAATAATGACAGATAAAATATATACATTTTAATTACATTTCACAGTCTCCTGATGAAGTCCACTGTGTGGACGAAAGCTAGAGAATAAATTATATATTGTTAGTCTCAAACTGAGTGCTGCTGTTATTTACTTATTGTCATCATCATCAACATTACTGGAGGAGGTCTCGAGACGCTGGTCTCCGAAAAGTTTCATTACAATAGTAAACATTATTTAAAGCGAGCTTGTGATTTTACACGATCATATATAAAGCCAAAACATAAGCACGTGGTGCATGGACAGCCTCAATGTGGGAAAAAGGAATACGTCGATATCTGAATGTATCTCTACACTGGGGTTGCGAAGCAGGTGACACAGTAGTCGGGAGTGTGCACCGCGACCCATCAATAATACTAACACGGTGTCTTGTTTTTGTCTCAATTCATTCACAATTTCACACACCAAACGCTAGTTCAATGCGTGTGAATATCTCGTTACGATCAAATACAAGTATTATATTCTGCCTCAAAATTGATTTTTACTGTTTAATTTGTAAAATTAAGCACAATTAGCGTTTGATCGTTCAACTCGAGTTGAATGTTTCTGTGTGACCGTATATCATAACCCATATTTGATATCTCTCTTTCTATATGTGTCCCAATAAAATTGTCTATATTTTTCTCACAGTGGGATTTAAATGTTTAATTACGGTATAATTATTTGGGGTTCTTAGGCGATAGAACGATCCAGACAAAACCCAGCACAAAAATAAAAATGTGCCTTAGGCCTTTTTCTCACTGCACCAAAAAACATCCTTAAATTATAATTAAAATTTAAAAGATACCGTACCGTCTGATGATTAAAAAGAATTGAAGATTACCTGAATAGGAAAAGACCATGACCATTATCACTAAAGGCAACGGTTTATAGTCATTCTTCTAATGAATGAACAGAAATATGTAGGCGAATTTTCAAGTACAGTGTGACGCGTTTGAAGTAAGTTTGAATAAAAGAGAAACCTCGAGAGAAGCCATATTCCCACGGGTGGTTTAAAAGACAGGTATTTATTCAGAAATACTCTTGTGTCATTTGACTCGCATTTTAAATTATTTGTTCATAAAATAATGCAGACAATTCAAATGGGTGTCCTCTATCTGTACACTCCATTCTGGTAAGAAAAACATATGTATGAAAATATGTGTATTCTAGCAGGCTTTTCGTGAGCCTTTAAAAATTAAATTTAAAAACTATCTTGGCCTAATTTAGATTATTTTTGGGTGTATGCGTTCATTCCAACCCAGTACCGGTACTGTACTGTTTATTACGTACCGGTTAGGCCTACTGTAACAGTGTTATTTGTTTTCATTAATAAAATACATGTGTACACAATCGGTAGTTTTCGCCGCACGACGTTAACCTTAAAGTTTACGGATGACGCCATAATTTATTCATCTTGCTTTGCGGAGTACGTTAATTTCAGGATTTTACGTGCTTGACGTACGTTAGTTACGGGTTTGCGTATTTCGATTTGTTTACAAAAGGGGCAGAGCTATCGCGTTATGTTGGGTACCGACGTTAAAGTTAACCTCGTGCGTCGAAAACTACCTAGTATTAATCACACCAAAAGTTACATTGCGGTGCGTCTATCATGATTTTCTAAGAATAGGCCTATCAAATAATGGTATCAGTGTGACATAGACCGTCGGACGACGAATCTATCCGCTCTCCGGGAGCGTGAACAAGCGCAGCGCATGCGATAATTGCACAATATTTTAATTTAATTATTGACTGTGTAGCCCTGGTTGTTAGGCCTATACTATTTTATGAAAGTGAAATATAATACAATAAATAGAATAATAGTCGAAAAATTGTGTTGCTTTAGGTCGACCAAGTTCCAGGGGTTGCGGGGTGTGAACCTTATCCTTCCTCCCGGTGAATCCGTGAGTTGGGCCAGCTACGGTACTCATCCCACGAATGTATTCGATTTAATCCAAGCCCTTGCTTTTTATGTGCTTTTAAGGTATATAAAAGACAGTTACAACTTGAGGAAAGTGCCTTAAAATAGGTCCAATGGTTTTATGTTCCCAAATCAAATTAAAACCCTTAAACCATCTTAAACATGGCTTTAGGCATATGCAAATCGGAAGTTTCATTTTAATTATTATGTTTTCTTAATCATTTTGTTTCATAAAGATGCAATGAGATCGTTCAGAAGAGGCGGATAAAAACCGATCATGTATTCCCACTCGAACGTTATATCTCACTACCACGCATGTTCACGGCTCAGCAATAAACAAAAATGTCATTAACAGAGGTTGAGATCCCCATAGGGCTATATACGGGCTCCAATTGTATAATTTTACATTGCAACATTATAATGATTGGCGAATGATTGTTCTTTGGAGTCCCGATAAAGATCTGTGGAAGTGCACCATACAGGAAGCTTGGATCATTGTTTTCTTAAGTTGCCGCCGACGATGCGACCTACTTTTCAAAAACTTATTTGTATTTATGGACATTAAATGCACTAGTCTGCAATTACAACCAAAGTGGCACAGTTTCGCTTGTCCTATGCCAGGAAACCTAAAATGTTGCGTCGGTATCCGACCAGTTTGTAGAAATCTAGTTTGCCAAAACCCAGATTGCCGAATTAAGGGCCGGGCCACTTTGCCGAAACCCAGTTTGCCAAATTCAGTTCAACGAAATCATGAAAACCCAGTTTGCCGAATCTTGCCGTCACTGTCGTACAAACGTACAGCATGTGCTTTTGAAAACATGTTTGGCAAATTTAATGGAAACAACATCATTCCCAACACATTCCATTAATATTCTACTCCAGTAGAATTATATTTTTTCATTACAGATTTTACCAACAAAATAATAAACGCCTCCCTCGAACTCCCCTCACAAACAGCACCGTAACGTACGTATCCATTTTACAAATATAAATAAATAAATAAATATATATATATATATACCGCTGTCTCTTATACACATCTAGATGTGTATAAGAGACAGTATATATATATATATATATATATATATATTTATTTATTTATTTATATTTGTAAAATGGATACGTACGTTATATTTATTTATTTATTTATTTATTTATTTATATTTGTAAAATGGATACGTACGTAAATGACTCCCTCGAATAAACACCTCCATCGAAAATACTCCCCCTCCACCCTCTCAAGACGAGAACGTCCGGGACCAAAAATAATAATTTGCCTATCCAAATAACGTTATTTTGATTGTTAATCCCCAATATTGTGGTCTAAAACCTAAAAGCATAATTTGGGCCATACTAAGAAGGGCCGCCAAGGGGGGAAACTGTAACAGGGGAAAGGGTTGGTTGTGGGCAAAATGGGATTCATGGTTTTTGAGTCGACAAACTGACATTGGGCAAACTGGATATCGGCAGAATGGACTCGGCAATCTGGGATTCGACAAACTGGATTTCGACAATTTTGCCTAGATTGGCGTCGCTCCATCCATACAAACTCTATGATCAGACACGTAAAAACATGAACTGACGTAAACGGCTCACCAGGCCTAAAAATAATATCTGCTAAATTGCTATCACAACGCGAAACGCTGTTGTCATGAATCACGCGTTCACGTACAACCCATCGTTGCGACGTTACAGGTTAAAACATGAACTGTAGAAACGGAGTGGACTTAACGCGCAACGTGAACTCAACTTTGTTTATTGGTCAACTCGTCAGTGAAGTTAAACGCGCGCCGGTACACTAGCAACGTCAAGACATTGCACTAAACAATTTTCTAAAATATAGAAAAAATATATAAGCATACTCTTATAATAAACGCTATGAAGAATAAATAAATATAAATTTGCAATACCCATCATAAGCAATATATCGTAAAGATCGTAATTTATCAATGCGCACTATGTGGTATCTGTACGCACACTTTTTTCTCCAAATTGTTTTGGTTGAATTTATATTTAAAAATAATTGATTCTCGTATTCAAGCACCGTTTTTCAAGTCAAAAAAGAAGTTGGGCTTAAATTATAATGTGTACACAAAAGGTAAAGTTAAAACTTTTCACGTATAAATACGCCTATAAATAGGCCGAATTTTTATTTTCTTTATACAATAAGAAAATGTAACCACATGCGTTCTTGGAGCGCTTTCTATTGAAAACTTTAAAAGATTGTCAAAGGTCAAAGGTGAATATAATAATTTTGTAAACAATGAGAGAGTTAAAGTTCCACGAGAAAAAACTTCTCAAAAAAGTCGATTTTATATCATGGGAAGTTGACAACAACCTCCATGAAGTAAAAATACTACGCAAGTACCATATACAAAAGCGAGAGGATTACACAAAGTGAGTAAATATGGATTATACACATGAAAGACTTCCTTACATAGGCACTCCACTCGCTTGGCGGGCACACATGGACGTGAGCTGGTGGTTGTCCGGTTTCGAATGGTTTACTACTCGCTTGGCGGGCACATGTCACACATGTCTTAAAGAACTATGGCATGTCGGAATAAATATCCATAGAATAGAGTTGTTTGAATGGGTAGACTAGAGTAGAAAGGTTGCCATTAAATCACATCCTGTTATTACAGTAATAATTTTATAAATATTGACTGGCCTAACTAGTGCAGTCAAATGAGTAAGACGTCTAATTTACCACAGCCAAGGTGTATTCATAAATTAAAAATTTCGTAAACTAGATTACTTGTGTTATAATGTTGTACATTGTTGATGTGTGTGTGTGCTACTTTACAAGGCAGGTGATTGATCGTAGATCCTCGATATGCCTGACTGTTACGTACCGTGTGTGATATTAGCAATTGTCAACCTAGTTTAAAAAAAAAAAATTGCCCGTATGTATATACAGTAGCTACAATAATTTACAAGTTAGGCACACATTTACCTAAAGAAAAAAAATAGAAATGCATGCTGAAAAATCACTCCTTGTGACAAAAAACATGCAATGTTTGATAATATTCATGTATATTTATGTGATGATATTGGTGTTAACTGGCCGTGTAAATGGCGTTAGTAACTCTGAATAATGGATCAGTAAACTGCGATGATCTATGACGTTAACTCCACATTCCCATGGAGTTATCTGAGATCAACGGCATGTTCTTGATGCGAAGCAGCTGTTGTTTGACCTGTGTCAGGGGCAGATCCAGGATTTGAAAGAGGGGGTTTCATTTTCCCATAAACCCAAAAATAATAGGGGGTCAGGGGTCCTCTCCCGGGAAAAATTTTGATTCCTAGATGGCCTGAAATGAGCTTTCCCGACTTCTGAGCTGTCTTTTAATGACCTTTAATTTCTTCAAAATTGAAGATTTTACCCCTCTCAAAAAAAAGTCAGGTGATTTTATCTCATTCTTAGACCTATACCATAGAAAATAAATCAAAGATATAGTCAATATATTATTAGGCCTATATCATACCTACCAAGTCTCGCATATCTGGCGTGAACCTCACGCTTTCACTTCAAGCTCTCAAGCCACTTCTCTAAAATCTCACGGTTTTCCAATAATCTCAAGCTTTGTTTGATTAAACCCAAACTTTTTATCGAAATACTAGAAACCTTCGGAATTCTATATTTTATCAGGTCTAGATCGTTGAAAATTCTATCGTTCCTGCCTGTTATAGCTACACATTTTTAAGGTATAATTTCAGAAATAGAGATTTATTCAGAGTGCACCAGAGAGCATCTAAGCTCAAAATTTTTCGAGGCCCTTCGACCGGCCATCGACTCGCGTCAATTGGGTTTATTTCCTGTTAAATCTCAAGCCTCTAGCTACCTCCAACTTGGTATGTATTCTATATTTCTACATTATTATGTAGTTGGATACTTCCATAGATCGATGGACTGATAGCCCTGAAAAACACTTCCGTACATAAATTATTATGACGTCGAGCCAAAACTGTTTTTAATTGTATTTAATTGAATGCTAGTTGCGCTAAGCCTATTTTGTCACCCAACCTATATCTGCCAACCTATGCCTAGGTAGGTTAGCATGCCTTTTGTAAGCCAGGACCCAGTAGTATTTTGTTACGTTTCACAGAGGGGGGGTTTGTTTGAACCCCCCTGGATCCGCCACTGTGTGAGTCATCACGAAAGTCGCTGTTGATAAACAGCGCAAAATCATCTTTTGCAGAAATGTTTCAAAATACAGGAGAAGTAGTTATAAGTAAACAGTTTGTTTTTATTAATTACATACATTTTAAAACGAAGGGTTTCAAAACAAGTAGCAATATGCACGGTTTTTTGAGGATAGTGATAATCATGCAACTTCTGTTACCAGGCCCGTAGCCAGGGGGGTTTTTTAGGGGTTCGGGCGAACCCCCCTTTTTCAGCGAATCCCCCTTTTGCCAGCAAAACTCTTTAGCCAGAAAACGATCCCCCGTTTCCAAAATAGTGCAATTTATTACAAAATGGGAGCATTTTTGGCACTGTTTATTTGTCGCTATCAATCGTAGTCTGATCGTAGAAATCAAAACAAAGCTGCAGCCAGCTGAATGACGTAACCAGCAAGACTTCAAAATGAATAGTAATGAGAGGTTTGTTGCCTAGGTTATTTGACCAATCGCGTGCTCCGGAGTTTATTTACTTTGGCACAACGTCATCACAAAAGTTTGGGCGCTCAACATTTTTCATTTCTCTGGGATCGAGGACATGCGACACGTCAAAAATAGCCTAGGATGAAGCGCCGAGAAAGGATAACCGGTTTTTTTGCTTCAAGGCCAACAACGAAGAAATCATAAAATTAAGGTATAAGTTAGAAAATTCACCCTTGTTTTCACCACATGCTCATGATACTGCCTGGCGGTGGGACGGGTGTACTTTTTCGGTTCAGTTGTATTATTGATATTATCATGTTAAAGAAAAAATACTTGATCAGTAAACATGCCCTCTTGATGAGTCTCGGACTGTTTTATAATAGCCTAAAGTACTGCTCTACTGGGATCTAGGCCTAGGCTAGTATCACGGTAGGATAGAAGCTTCCATTGATTAAATAAGCTATTTGTTTATTGTGCAAATTGCAGATGTTCCAAGCTCATGTGCAGAAGCTATTGAAGCTTGCGATGAAGATCTGTTTCCAAATGTTGCCAAAGTGCGAGCCAGCGTGTTATTTGATCACAAGTGCGAGACATCACAAGTGTGAGCCAGCGAGCCATGACGTCACGACAATAGATACGAGACGTTAACGAGTTGTGCAAGGTATCGGCTGAGATTTCTGGAGTACAATTCAAAAAACAACTACAGGTTTAATAATGAATTATTGTGATGTTAAATAGACAATATTAGCTATCAAGGAGCGATGTTGTTTTTCATTGGCACCTTCATCCCTTCAAGGCTAGGCCTATAATACCATCCTAGCTAGTCTAGGCCTAGAGTAGGATAAGGCTAGCGCGACATGCGGACATTGGTACGAGTTGGTTAGTCTGCAAACGCCGCCTAAAGTAATTGATTTTACCCGGCAGAACGAAAGAAGGAAACTCCGCTTTTCAGTCGTCTTAGGCCCTTGTTTTTTGACAAACAATGACCTTTCAGATGTCAAATTGCTGTCAAGAATATGAATTGGCTGCTTCGCAGCAATTATTGTTTTTGCATAAACTGGTGCTTTAACATGTACAATTTTTTACTGCAATGTTTTTTGCGTAAACTGGTGCTTTGTAACATAATAGTATATTTATTATATTTTCTCAATATTTCTCATTTAAACCAAGACAGCTCTTAAATCATTGTTTATTTTCACTTTGCAAAGTTTTTTTACATAAACTGGTGATTTAACATGTACATATTGATATTGTAGCATAATAGTATATTTATTATTTTTTCTCAATATTTCCCATTTAAAGCCCCATTCCCGGCAAAATTTCAATTTTTAAGAAAAATCTAATTTTTTTATAACGTTATAAAGATTTATAAATGTAATACGGAATTGCTAGTTTAACTGAATTTAGACATTCCTAAGAATGAAAAAAATGTAAAATAAGACTGAAATTTGATTTTTTGTGTTCCACACAAAAAATAAATGCGGATGAATTTTTCATGTTGATTTTGCGATAGGTCGTGAGAAGAAATATCGTAGGCGCCGAAAACATTAGCCTATCCCACGCCTGCTGGCTAGGCCTAGCCTTACCTCGATTTTAGGTTCTGTTATCACACATAAAAACGGCCGACATGATATTTTCCGTTGCTAGTATTGACACTTGTGAAATATAATATTTCATAGGAATTATTTCATATTTGTTAAAAAACTGATTCTGACTGAGATTTTGACACTTAAACAAACATACCTCAGCCTAACCGAACGACCGCATTGTGCGAGATTCGAAGTACAAAAAGTAATCTCATTAGAGAGGGCGCACTTTATTGACTGTATAAAGTATACATAAAAGCGAGAGTATTCCAGTGGATGCGATCTACAACCTCTGAATTTGCCTAGTAACGATGAATTCGTCGAGAAAATGGTAATATTTTATGAGAAATAGTCTGTATTTCTCATTTTTTTTATTCTTTTGCGTAAAACTAAAATTCATGCCAATATTTTTCCATGATTTATAATAATTGGAGTAATGCAAATGCATATTTTCTAAAAAAAGTCATTTTTAGTGAAATTTTGCCGGGACAGCTCTTAAATCATAAATAAACCAAGACAGCTCTTAAATCATTGTTTATTTTCACTGTGCAATTTTTTTTTGCATAAACTTTTGCTTTAACATGTACATATTGATATTGTAGCATAATAGTATATTTATTATTTTTTATCAATATATCTCATTTAAACTGAGACAGCTCTTAAATTATTGTTTATTTTCACTGTGCTAAGTTTTTTTTACATTTGTAGCATTATAATTATGTCTGTTTATTTTCAGTATTACTGTGCAAGTATATTTACATAAATGGTTCTGTAACTTGTAAATATAATAACATTTTTCCTTGCCCTAATTATATGTATTTCCATTGGAACTTTTTTTTAGTAAAAAAGTAAAATGTAGGGCTGTCAGTTCCTATTGTTTCTTCATTTCTGCAATAAATAAGATATTATTTGCAATATTTCTCTTTTAAGCAAAGACCTTTTACATACGGTACCTCCATATTTTAGTATTGGTATTTAGCGATCTCATAATGTGCAAGGTCTGTGTTTAGTACAGTCACCTAGTGGGTATTGCTAATTTTATCCCAGTTATATTTTTAGAGATAACATTACATAGTATCATTAAAGTGTTAAGCATTGCTTTTTGATAAAAAAAAGTTTGTTTCACAATAAATATTTACGTTCTAAACCCTGTATTGGAAAAAAGTATTCTTCTTATCTTATTTTTAAAATTGTGTAAGAAGTATTTAAATATACATGAACATGCATTTAAATGACATGTAGATGCTTTTAAAATCGTATAAATGCTCTGGCTTCGGGGCCCCCGACCCCCCACAGGGGCTTTTCCCCTTGACCCCACCGGGGCCCTTTGGCGGGCCCCTGGACCCCACGCCCAGAACCCCCCTTAAAGCAAGCTGGCTTGCAACCAATGCATTTATCTCAACTGGGTATCATCGGTGTTACTTAGGGGTGGGCATACAAATCGGTTGGTGGGCCAAAGTGAATTTTTGATTTAACACCGAGGGCTGCACCCAAACTTTGATGTTCACAGTGAGCTACCAAAAACCTCCAAGCACTGCTTTTACACCACTTTATTCTCTTTTTTTCTAATTTTGTTTAGGTACAATAAATTGAGTCGGCATGTTCGGGAACTTACAAAGAAAATCAGGCAACTTGATGTCAAGGATCTTTTTCGAACTGAATGTACCTCACAGCTTTTGGAGAAATTGTATGTACAACATTTAAATTCATATATAAATTAACCTAATTCAAGTGTGGAAATGTTTTATTTCAATTTGATTAAAAGCACAGGCAAATCCTGGTGCCACCCCTGGTCTTACCTGTGCCAAATGAAATGATTAAGGGTTCAATCTTGTTTTGATTGACAGACACAGTCACATTCTTTCTCTTGTCATCAGGCTTCAATCTGCTTAAATTTCTAGTTTTTTTGATTTTGAAATTTCTAATTTGTCTGAATCCCCTTTTTTATTTATAATTATATATTTTGCTGTTGTTTTGTGACAGGGCTACACAACATCCTAGCCTACAACTGTGGCCCTGAGTCCAGTGATAGCTTTAATCCTCAAATATAGTTTCTTATTACATTGTTGATTTTTTCTTTATAAAAAAATAAGTTTCCCACAGTATTAAAGATGGTAGGGGTTTCTGTTACTATGTTTTGACTAATATTATGGGAATGTAAAGATAACGCCATATACCTGATATAAATAATGAAAACTATCAATACAACTGATTAAAAACTAAAAAAAACAAGTGTAAATGGATATGTTGTTTACACCTAATATTAAAACAAACCTGGAATATCTGATTTTATTATAGATGAAGAATAATATGAGAAATCAGCTACTGTTTAAAAAAAGCATACCCTGCAATCATCAACAATAATTTGAAAACTGAGTATAGTTAAACATGGAGGTATTAAACAGATACAGCCATGATTTAAAGCTACAGACAGTTGCACAAGCAAAATTAACTTTCATATGAAATTAAATGGCAGTGGTTCAGTAGATTTTGTCTTTGTATAAAATAGGTAAATATATATTTTTGTTACTTGATTTGCAAGTTGAGGTGATTTATCATGATATCAATACTAGAGCTCATATAAACTTATAATGAAAAGTTGCCAAAATATTTTTGATTGAAAGAAACCAATGAATTTTAGGAAAATGTTTACTTGAGGAAATTTTGTACCCAATTCATGGTTGCAACTGTTACCGTCATTGCGAAGAAAGGCAATAATTTGTTTTTTGGCAATTGTTATTAGCTTGTGATGTGGAACCAATTATCCAATACATTCTTTACTTATTGCATCAAGTCAAAAACAGAAATTTGAAATTACGACACAAAATATTATTATTGTTGTCTACGAAAATAGTTGTCATAAATATCTGAGAATAAAGGTTGTCATGCGTAGATATTTGTGTGATTAACTACAAACTGTTGATTATATTTACCTTGTCATTTACACTGGAATGTTGCCCATGAACCGTAAATCCTCACTGTGTGTTACATTCATTTTTATTGTTTTTAAAAGATGAAGGATGTGTAGACGTAAAATAATTTTAACGTAATTTGATCTTTTGTATTTATCTAGATGTTTATTCTGGTTAAGGTTTCTTATAATTATTCTTTTCATGTACAGCCTTGGAGCCTGTGTACAAATAGCAAATTAATGAATGTGTTTCATTGCCGTTGATTTTATTTTTGTAGAACTAAATAACTGATTGCTATAATATTTAGTAAAGTGTACAAATTGTAAAATATAATCACTAAAAGTTGTATTTGCTTGTTTTTATTAAACAAAAATTTGATACAAATCTGCGTGTTACTCTCTATTCTAATGTATCAAAATTATGAAAATAAGTTTTGCTTGTGTTGTGTATTCATTGCTAATTTTAGATAGAAAAAAATAGTCTAGTAGTTGAGAAAAATTATGAATATTGTGTGTTTGGTTAGGTAGTCATCATCATCTGGGGTATTGTGTTTTCGCTTCATTTGATCAGGTATATAGAATATGAAATCAGTTGAATGAATATGATTGCTCATGCTATGGTAATTGTGTGGGCTTTACCCATTGGTGGACAGGTCCATCCAACTTCTATTGTCCTGAATTAATCAGGGATGTTGCGTCTTTCAAAAACATGCAAAACAAGAAAATAGTTCTGTTTAATCATTTTGTAGTTGTTGGTAGAGGGCAGTGGTTATTAATTAATATAATGAAAGATTATATAAACACAAGATAGTGTTCTCCGCTATTTACGCGTAACAAAATGGAAGCGTCACTTTGGCAGAAATGTAACCACTTTTGGGAGAGGGGGCCCTAGTTGTTGCCATGGAAGGTGTTTGCATCACGCCAAAGTTTATTAGCAAGTACGTTTTTGTTCCTTATTGTTTTAAAGATCGTGCATTGTAAATTAACGCTTCTAATTGATACGAATAAAGGCTTTGGTCAAAGCGGTGGTCAAAGTTGAAAAGTAATCACTTTTGCAAGAGGGCGCCTTACACTGCATTATTACTGAATTTGCATGCAGAAATTGCGGAGAATGCTATCTTGTGTTTATACGATCTTTGATATAATGTATTGTTTGGATCGCTTTTTTTGATGACGACAGAATTATTTTGATTTTATGAAAACATCCATTTTGTATACAATTTTATTGAAGTGGATAAACTTTTAAAAAGTCCATGGTAGTGTGAAATCATGTTTTACAGTACATTTAATTTTTTTTCTTGTTCTAATTTTTATGCAGTGGATTGGATTTATTCGGTGTAAACACCAAGGACAACCCACATAAGTCAGAAGAAGACTTATTTCCAGTAGGGTCCTTCTGGTGATTAATTGGGTAGTACACAGGGAGACAATCCCTTATTCTTTTCCGAAGAGTGTACTGCGTTTACATGGGCCATTTTGCACGCGGGACCAACAGATTGAACATATTATCCAATGCACTATTAAAACTGACATTTCAGCTGTCCAGCTAGAACACAAGGAGAGAAGAAAAAGGAAATTGAACTGGGTAGCAAGAGGTCTGGACACAGTTCAGCACACACACTGTGGCTACCACCAGTTTAGCTGACTGAACTCAGAAATAGAACAATTTTTAGTATATTTTAGTCTGAGCTTTAGAAATAAACATCAAAACAGTGTTCTCTTTTTTTCCCTTTTTTTTTAAAACTTAAAAACTAAAAACATGTTTGATTTTTCCTGAACATTTTGGTGGTACTTGTGAGTTGTAACTTCATCCATATCTGTATTTGTTTCCCATGAATTCAGCGTTTTATATGGTCCAAATAGGAAGTAGACTATGTTAATACCCACATATTAATATCAATATTCACATAGTCTATTTGTACCCCTGCGAACCCTACTGGTTGTCAAAACATAACCCCTTGAGGTATAGTAGCTTACGTAGAGTGGAAGCAACTTGGAGCAAGCAGTTTATGTGGATGTTGATTCCAGGGGGACCAGAGCATATGTTTGCATTGTCTAGAATAACTCACACTAAAAGACTTTAGTGGTTGATATTATTTTTCTTTTTTTTTTTATACCGTGACAACAAATAAGCATTTAAGCATGATTGTATTTTCAATTTTTTAAAATATAAATTTCATTTTCTAATGACTTTAAGGGAAATTTGAGTTTGGCTACAATTCTACTCAATAAAAAAAAACCAGAGTTTTAAATTGATGCAATGAGTTTGGAAATTGAAAGTCTGTAACTAAACGTTACATTGACAATGTTCTCCACTTTCTGTTTTTATCCAGCCCTTGCACACTGTGACATTCAAAGAGGCGAAGGGCCCCTAGCTAAAGCTCTCGGTCAGAATCATTTTTTTTAACAGATTTGAAATAATTCCTATGAAATATTATATTTCACCAGTGTCAATACTAGCAACGGAAAATATCATTTTTTATGTGTGATAACAGAACCTAAATCATGGTAAGGCTAGGCCTAGCAGTGTTGGGTAGGGTAATGTTTCCGGCCCTACTATATTTCTTCGGAGACCTATCGCAAAATCAAACATAAAAATTTCATCAGCATTTATCAAAATTTCAGTCTTATTTTACATTTTTTTTTATGTCTAGGAATGTCTGAATTCAGTTAAACTAGCAATTTCGTATTATATTTATAAATCTTTATAACATATATAAAAATCAGATTTTTCTTAACAACTGAAATTATGCTGGGAATGGGGCTTTGAGCCTGTGAGAGTACATAGTGTGTTAAATTACCCTACCTAACACTGCTAGGCCTAGCCTTACCATGATTTAGTTTCTGTTATCACACATAAAAATGATATAGTGACATTCAAAGAGGCGAAGGGCCCCTAGCTAAAGCTTTTTTCTGGCCTTATACCCTGGGATCAGCGATACAAATAATATATTAGAAATGTTGAAACATTTATTTATAAATCAATTTTTCAACAGAGATTATTATTTTGTAAACTCAAGATAATAATTTTGAATGGAAAAATAATATTATGAATGTGTATCCGTTTTGATAATTTGTTGGAGGAGCTATAGTAGCCAGTCAACTTTACAAGTGTCAGGTTTTTAACCTGATTGTTGTTTTACGAAATAAAAAACGGTACCTCGATATTCTGACTTTAGTAATGCTGTCTGGGTAAAATGGGGGGAAAACCACTATTAAATACAATTAAGTAATTGATTTGCTGAACTTGGATGCAGATTAAAATCTATTGTCTTGAAAATTAAGAAGTAATGAAATCTGATTTCCTTATTACATCATGGTGTATAAAAAAATCATTAAAAACAACAAAACATATAATCTATAAGTACTATACATTGCACTGTATATCATATAAACTCTCATAATCACAATATGAATATTAAATGATAAAATTGGAATTTTATTCCAATAATGTATGAAATGGATTTATAAACATTTATATGACACTCTAGTTCATACAATATTATATATTTATATTTATACCGCAGTCTAATCACTGACCTAAATCATGCGAGAAACATCAAAGTTCATTTACTGTGTCTCCAGGACATTTAACAACATTAGTCTAGGGATTAGATACTCATTGCAAAAGGTGGCAAAGATTTCCGATAAGGAACTTAAAATTGAAAATTAAACTGAAGATTATTAGAAACATATGTGGGTAACCCAACAGAATGATGATGACTTAAGGAACACTAAGATTTAAGTGCTTGATAACAAAATAAAAATGCGTACTA